CAAGAATACAAGACTATGGGTCATATGCTCAAAGGAAAGATAATGGATATGAAAGATATGAGCCAACTTCATGACATATTAGGAACCGAAATGGTCGCTGCACAACTACGACAAAAAGGAGAGTACAATCGTCACAGAAAACCGGATCCAAACCTCAAATCAGGAGATATGGTTTGGTTGCTGCCACGCAATATCAGAACTACACGACCTACGAAAAAATTGGATTACAAAAAATGAGACCATTCAAAATACTGGCAAGGATAGGAAGCCGCCCTTATAAGCTCGACCTTCTACCCTCAATGAAAATACACAACACCTTCCATATTAGCCTCCTTGAATCCCACCAAGACGATCCTCTAGCTTCACAAACAAAAACACCACCACCACCTATGGAAATAAATGGTGAATTAAAATACGAACTCGAACCCATAATCAACTTTCGATTACACTACGGTCACCTGCAATACACAGCGAAGTGGACAGATTACTCACCAGAATACGATAAGATTTGGTACCCAACTGAGAACTTCGATAACGCACAAAATGCAGTCCAACAATTCCACCGAAAATACCCACGCAAGCCAATAGCCAAGAATCGAAGACATACCCGAATCAGGACGTGCAATGCCCACATTATACAGAACAGATTCCTACCACTAGGAATACTCCAAGGGGAGGGGTGCAATGCTGATACCATCGGCCCTCTAGAACATCCCCGAACTTGCCGCATTCAAACACATCACCCCAACCAGCCCTGGGTATCGGACCCCAACGCCGGTCAAGGAAGAATAGAATAACGAAGACTGGACCAACCTAGCAGACCTCAATTTGAGGAAGAAAACAACCTCAGAAAGGGAACACACGAACCTGTCATAGACAGGTTACTACGACGACGAGTGCCAAGTACACTATACAGAGAAGGAGGGCTCCGGATGTTGGCCTCGGGAAATGAACTGATAGCCACCCAAGACCTCACCCTTGGGATCACCAGCGAGATCCCCGACCCCAGAGCCTGTGGCTGTGGTACAATACATCCAAACAACTCCGAGGACGGAGTCGAAGAGGAAGGGGGCGAAAAAACAGAAATGGGCAAGACCCCGGAAGACACGATACGTCTCCAGGGAAGAAGAGATGGAAACAGAGAAACCAGAAACAACGATAATGCAATTGTTGGCGGAGGCAGTAGAAACGAAAAAAGTAGTAGAATGGCAAGCAGAAAAAATAGGACAGCTCCACAGCGAGCTCAGGGAGGAAACGAGAATAAGGAAGGCACTCCAGAATGACTGGAGGAGAGAAGAGAAGGAGGCAGAAAGGGCCCTGACGACAGTACGGAACGTAAGCGCTTGGCTAAACAAGGAAACCAAGTAGGGACTAGCGGCGGACAGGGCATGGGATTAGAGGAAAGACTAATGTAAGCCTAATAAGACTCGGGCTGAGGGAGAGGGGAGCTACTGTCACAGATTGTGACTAAGCAAGGCAGATTTTACATAGCCCAAAATTCTGAGCTTTAGGTATGTTGAGATTTCATATGACACGCACTAGTGCGCCATAGATTATTATATTTACCTGTTCGTGACTCAGAGTTGTGAGTCACACGATGTTATGATTTTCGCACATGACTCAATTTATGAGTCATGGGTTTCACTCAGGTAACGCGAGTTGTGCACCTGACCTGGTTATTATGTTTTGATTGGTTTTAGGTATGTTGCACAGCGACTCATAGGAGTTGGCTGAGGGATTTCACGTGACTCATAGTTATAAGTCACAGGGTTCACGTGATGCGAGGTATGAGTCACACCAGGTGAAGAACTACTATATAAGGGATCGCTAGGACCACGCGTATTAGTTCTTCACATGTTCTTCTTGTTTACTTCCTACCTTTAAAGTTATTACCATAAAACCTACCTTTGCGCTCTTTAAGATTTATCCTAAGAAACCTGAGAATTGTCTTTCCTCCCAAGCAAGAAAACTATTTCTCCTCCTATGACGAACGATTAAGTCCTAGACCAGAACTTAAGAAGATTAGAGGAATAGGTGCGATAAGATAGAAGTTAAAGGACTTGACTATCAGTATCGCATAGGCACCGACCTAAGAACTATTACCTCACTACGAATTAAGAATCGTTACCTGTCACATTTCAGTAACTAGTAGGATTCTTAACGCAGTGGCCTTGGTCAAATATATGACACTGACTCCAAGGATGGAGTTGAGGAGGAGGCGGGCAAAAAAATTGAAGAGGATGAAACCCAGGAGAATGTGTCATATCTCTTGGGAAGACAAAATGAAGGAACCCACAACCTCGAAAGAGCCCAGGAAGGCGATAATGAAGTGGTTGGCCTAAAGGTCCGAAATAAAAAAGGTGATAGAATACTAGGCGGAGAAGATAGAGGAGCTCAAATAGGAGCTGAGGGAGGAACAGAGGATGAGGAAAGCTCTCCAAAATGACTAGAGAAGGGAAAAGACAGAAGCCCGCAGGACCTTAGCAAAAGTTGCAAAGGTCAATACATGGCTAGATAAAGAAAAGAAGTAGGAACTCTTAGCTGAGAGGGCATGGGGCTTGGAAGAAAGACTAATAGAAGCCCGATGGGACTTGGGCTGAGGGAGAGGGGAGCTAATGCCAGAAACTGTGACTAAGCAAGGCAGATTTTACATAGCTCATAATTCAGAGCTATAGGTATGTTTGGATTTCACATAATGCATCCTAGTCTGTTATAGGTTATTATGTTTACCAGTTCGTGACTCACAGTTGTGAGTTATATGATATCATGATTTTTACATATGACTCAAGTTATGAGTCAAGGGTTTCACTCAGGTGACATGAGTTGTGCACCTGATTTGGTTATCGACTTTTGATTAGTTTGAGGTATGTTGTACAGTAACTCATAGGCGTCAGCTGACACATTTTACATGACTCAGGGTTGAGTCACAAGGTTCATGTGACACAAGGTATGAGTCACACCAGGTGAAGAGTGGCTATATAAAGGGTCAATAGGACCCTGAGTATAAGCTCTTTACACATTCTTCTAGTTTATTTCATACTCTTATATTTTACCAATAAAACTCACTTTTATGTGCTTTAAGATTTATCTTAAGAAACTCAAGAATTGTCTTTCCTCCCACGATGAATGACTAAGTCCTAAGCAAGAACTTAAAGAAGATTAATGTAATCAGCCCAAGAAGATAGTAGTCAAAGAACTTAACTATCAAGTATTGCATAGGCAATGGCTTAAGAACTATTACCTTTATTAGCAATAAGAATAGTTACCTGTCACACCCCCATGCCCAGTAGGATTCTTAACATTCCAGGGAGTGCTCGTCACATCTGGGCAGGTTTTACACCAATCCAGCGTACATGTGCCCCTTTGCTGTAGGCTCTTTGTAGGTTGCTTGAGGACTCTAATAGCATAATACTTATCATGGAGAGTAGTGTGCCCAGGGTAAGGGACCATGGGTAGTACCCACAGGTCCCACCTCTACCACAGCTCTCCATGGGAGGGTCGTAGGTCTTCTAAGTTTGCAATCAAGATAGATAGAACTTAACGAGAAAAAAGCCGGTATCTATGGGTACTTGCATAGGTCATAGCACATGGAAAGAGAGTTATTTAGTTAGCTTTCCTAGGTGTCATGACAGTTAGCCACTGATGAGACTCTGATGTGCAGAGGTTTTCACTCTAGCAGGTGTATTGGTAAATACCTTACAGGACTGGTGTGCATATGAGAGATTTCTGCTAGAGTGCGCTAACACCTTAAGCCCTTCAGGGACACAGTAATGGTGCTGGGCAACCCTTACGGAGAAGAGCATACTCATGTTGGTCAGGAAAACCTGATGGGAAAGTTTTTGGTATAAGTCTGACTACTTAAAGATTATACAAGAACTCTCCTACCCTGACACAATCAACATCCTCTCGAGAGACTTTAATTGCCATAAGCCATAGCTTAACAATATTAAGTTTTACCACTTACTTTTATTCTTTACATTTTGTAAGAGCTGTGCTCAAGAGATTCGAAGTTTGGTGCAGTTGATTTCTTAGGAACCATCTACCTAAGGGAGTCCCCATTACACAAGTGCACGTGGAATCCAACCCTCCCTATCATTGCTGACCTTTAATTTTCTGATAGCTTGAACTCTTCCCATAGCTGATCATGTTATGATTTACAGAATTAATTTCTATCAACTTGTTCCTAAGATATCCTTCGCTGTTGACATGCTGTCCTCCTCTTGGCATTGAAAAAGCAATGTCCGACTTCCGGGTTTTGTCCGACTTCCGGGGTTTTTACGTTACCTGTACTGTACAGTCCGGTGCTGTCTCCGAAAAATCCGCATGTCTCGATCTCATCTGATGAGATAGAAACGCTGTGCTCCTAGTCTAACATTAACTTACGTCTTCTCTCCTGCTTGTTGGGAGTGGGCTCCCTCTTAGTGTCTGCGAGAAACCCGGCAACTCTGGGAAGGGGGGCCAAATTCAGGGAGGAAAGGAGAATCTGCACGCAGGGCAAAAACGCTACAATGAGAGAAAAACACCGCAACGGGCGAACGCATATGGGAGCAAATTCCGACGCTCGAGGTCTCAAGTGGGGGCCCCCTAGTAGTGGAGTGCGGTGTGTAACTAAATTTTAGTTATAGTGACGCGTTCGAAAACTTGGCCTTGAGCGGACCTTTATCTCCTCTGGTCTCAGTTGACTGGTCAAATGCGATTGATGGATCAGGTACCTGGCCTCCCACTCACCACATCTCTCACCTCTTCAGGTTTTTGTTGAGCACAGGAGGACTTGTGTTTTCAGATGAGCTGGTTGTGGCATACCGCTAATCTTGACCAAAACCAAGATCAACTCCGCTTCCCCGTACCGCTTTTTACGCCTGGCCTGTGCCTTTAAACATTTCGAGTGATACGAGAAGAGAAGGCTTAGTCAACGGAACCTCGTCAAGCTCAGCTGAGGGACCGGCATTGTTGGCGATAGCTTCCAATCCACGTGATGGGAACGGGGAAATTAGCCCCACATCCTCACCACCCCTAGCGGCAAGAGGGAATCTTTTTAAACCCTGGGTCCCGACGCTCGAAAAATTCCGCCTTAGGGGTAAGATATCTCTCAAGCGATTGCAACTGTCCCGCTTCTAGCGTATATAACGAGAAGAGTATTTAAACAAATAGGTAGCCGCACCTTTGCTCCCTTCGTTTCTGGTTTCTAGCTCTCGCAGGAACCAACCTCCAGAGAAAAAAAGAAAAACAGAAACCCCCCCGCCCCCCAGATGAACCAAACCGCAGTCATGAGCAGTGATAATAGATCTGTTGTTACTACGGTCCAAATTCTTGGAAAAGACACTATTAAAGCCGGTTACGACCTCACAGACAGCATCACGGCAGATATACTACAGAACTTGACTTCGTCGACATATGTCCTAATAACCGACACAAACCTTGCACCTCTCTACCTCTCCGCCTTCGAATCCTCTTTCAGCAAGAATGCACTCAAGTATTCTTCTGAGGCCCGCCTCCTCTCATACATTATCCCACCGGGCGAGTACTCAAAGTCTCGTTCCACGAAAGCCGAGGTGGAGGACTGGATGCTCTCGGAGAAATGTACCCGTGACACAGTAGTCATCGCACTTGGAGGCGGCGTCATTGGAGATATGATCGGGTATGTGGCTGCAACATTCATGCGTGGGGTTAGATTCATTCAGGTGCCGACTACACTGTTGGCTATGGTGGACTCTTCAATTGGCGGGAAGATGGCGATTGACTCGCCGCATGGGAAAAATTTGATTGGGGCCTTTTGGCAGCCAGAGAGAATTTTCATAGATATGAAGTTCTTGGAGACTTTGCCGGAGAGGGAGTTTGTCAATGGGATGGCGGAGGTTGTAAAGGTGAGTTTTTGCTGAAACATGTGGGGATGTCGAGAGGGCAGTGCCTAATGGAGGTGGTGATAGACAGCTGCCATCTGGGATGAGGCCGAGTTTGCTAGATTGGAACAGAATGCCGAGTTGATCCTTGAGACTGTCCAATCCAAGAGCGCCGAAAGCGGTATGCTGCTTTTCGCCTATTGCTTGGGTTGATTTTGCTGACAGCAGATAGGCAAAGCTCGGATCGGAAGCTTTCAGAATGTGTTCAAAGATGTCATCCTGGGCTCTGTACGTGTTAAGGCACATGTGGTATCGGCAGACGAGCGCGAGGGAGGGTTACGAAACTTACTCAACTTTGGTCACTCTATCGGGCATGCTATTGAAGCTATCCTATTTCCACAAATGCTCCACGGAGAGTGTGTAGCAATTGGAATGATCAAAGAGGCCGAGCTCGCCCGACACTTGGGCGTTTGCAAACCTGGCGCTGTCGCGAGACTATCCAAATGCTTGACTAGCTATGGCCTCCCGACCTCTCTCGAAGACAAGCGTGTCAAGAAGCTTACTGCTGGAAAGCACTGCGAGGTTGAGAGAATGCTTTCAATTATGGGCGTTGACAAGAAGAATGACGGGCGTAAGAAGAAAGTAGTCCTCCTCGCCGCAATTGGCAGAACCTATGAGAAGAAGGCATCTGTGGTTGACGACGACTCTATTCGGGTTATTCTCTCGCCAAGTGTCATCGTTCATTCGCAGAGATCCTGTGTTCCAGAACTGGAAGTTACTCCTCCGGGATCGAAGTCTATATCCAATCGCGCGCTTGTCCTAGCGGCGTTGGGCTCCGGAACTTGCCGTATCAAGAATCTTCTCCACTCTGATGACACCGAGCACATGCTTACTGCCCTTCATAAGTTGGGAGGGGCCCAGCATTCTTGGGAAGAGGATGGTGATGTTCTCGTAGTGAATGGAAACGGTGGTAAGCTTCGTGCTTGTAGAGACGAGCTGTATCTGGGCAACGCGGGAACCGCAGCGCGTTTTCTAACTTCCGTCGCTACTCTGGTGTCTCCTTCGGGCGAACATGATTCTACTGTTCTTACAGGGAATGCCCGTATGAAGCAACGACCAATTGGATCTCTTGTCGACGCCCTTCGCTTAAACGGGAGCATTGTTGAATATCTCGAGAGCCAAGGCAGTCTTCCAGTTCGTGTTCCTTCGACATCGGGACTTACCGGAGGAAGGATTGAGCTTGAAGCGAAGGTGTCATCTCAGTATGTATCCTCGATTTTGATGTGCGCACCATATGCTCGTGAGCCGGTCACATTGTCGCTTGTCGGCGGGAAGCCGATTTCTCAGCTCTATATCGATATGACTATCGCCATGATGTCCTCTTTCGGGATTATGGTCGAAAAGTCGGCAACTGAGGAGCACACCTATCATATCCCCCAAGGATTTTACAAGAACCCGGCAGAGTATGTTGTTGAGAGCGATGCCAGCTCTGCTACTTATCCTCTTGCTATCGCGGCTGTCACTGGGAGTACCGTTACTGTACCGAATATTGGTAAGAAGTCTCTTCAGGGGGATGCCCGCTTTGCTGTGGATGTTCTCAGGCCAATGGGATGCACTGTTGAGCAGTCAGACTATTCAACTACCGTTCGAGGTCCGCCAAAGGGCCAACTGAAGCCGTTACCGCAAGTTGACATGGAGCCTATGACTGATGCTTTCTTGACTGCATCGGTTCTCGCGGCTGTCGCCAATGGCACGGAGAGGACCTCTATTACCGGTATTGCTAATCAACGTGTGAAAGAATGCAACCGGATTTCTGCCATGGTTCACGAACTTGGGAAATTTGGCGTTGCTGCCGGCGAGCTGGAAGATGGTATTTGGATCCAAGGAATAGACTACAGCTCACTGAAAACACCCGAAGGCGTTCACTGTTACGATGACCATCGGGTCGCTATGAGTTTTTCGGTTCTAGCACTCATTGCACCAAATCCAGTCGTTCTACAAGAGAGAAAGTGCGTCGAGAAGACATGGCCCGGTTGGTGGGATGTGTTGTCTACCTCTTTCAACGTTGGCCTGAGCGGTGTCGAGCTTCTGGAGGATTCGCAAGTTAGGGAGGCGTCGGTGAAGAGGGGCTCCAATCGCACGATCGTCATTATCGGCATGAGAGGTGCTGGTAAGACAACTATGGGCATCCGGGCTGCTCAAATCCTGAACCGTCCGGTTCTAGATTTAGACACCGTGCTTGAGGAGGAACATAAGAGTACGCTACCAGAGATTATCAAAGAACATGGCTGGGATGCATTCCGGAAGCTGGAATCGGAGCTTCTACAAAGACATCTTAGGGCTCACCCAGACAATTATGTTCTCGCCTGCGGGGGAGGTATAGTGGAGACGCCGATTGCAAGGGACCTCCTGAAGCAGTACTATTATACCGGGGGAATCGTCGTTCATGTCCATCGTAATATAGAAAGGGTCATGGAGTACCTTAACATCGACAAAACTAGACCCGCGTACGTGGAGGATATGGTTGGTGTTTGGAATCGTCGCAAACCTTGGTATACTGAATGTAGTAATTACCAGTACTACAGCCCGATTGTATCCAAGAGTGATCTGGCTATTGCGCAGGCGGACTTTTCCAGGTTCCTCACGGTCATTACTGGAAACTCAGATTACCACGGGAGGATTCTTAAGAAGACAAGGTCTTTCTTTGTTTCTTTGACTTATCCTAACCTAGAGGAGGTGACGGGTGCTGTCAGCGCTGTTACTATCGGCTCTGATGCGGTTGAGGCGAGGATTGACTTGCTAACTGATCCTACGGATTCGGATGGGGTTGCAACTCCGGCGTTTGTAACTGAGCAGCTAGCTGTCTTGAGGGCAAAAACTCAACTCCCGGTGGTTTTCACCATCAGGACCAAGAGTCAGGGCGGGAAGTTCCCCGATGAAGATCACGAACGTGCTTTGGAGCTCTACCTGACTGCCCTTAGAATGGGATTGGAGTATATCGATCTCGAGGTTACTTGGCCCGTTCCATTACTTGAGAAGGTCACTTCAGGGAAGGGCTACAGCAAGATTATCGCCTCACATCACGATCTTGGCGGAGACCTCCGCTGGGGTAATGCGTCTTGGATTTCTAGATTTAACACTGCTCTCAAATACGGGGATGTGATCAAGCTCATCGGTCAGGCAATGAGCATACAAGACAACTACGACTTGGAGAATTTTAGGAAATATGCCGCCACCCACGAAACTCGTTTGATAGCGCTAAACATGGGCGAAAAGGGCAAGCTTAGTAGGGTCCTGAACACCTTCTTGACTCCCGTCACCCACCCGGCGCTGCCATTCAAGGCGGCGCCGGGTCAATTGTCGATAGTAGAGATCCACCAAGCTCTCTCCTTAACGGGCGTGATTGAAGCAAAGAAGTTTTACATTTTCGGCACACCGATCATCCACTCCCGCAGCCCAGCGCTACACAACACCTTATTTCAGTCCCTTGGCCTACCACATACCTACCGCCTCTTTGAATCTACTGACGTCTCTGCCACCAGAGAGATCTTGGACAGCGAAGACTTTGGAGGGGCATCCGTCACGATCCCGCACAAAGTCTCTATGATCCCCCTCTTATCCTCCATCTCTGCCCATGCTCAAGCTATCGGCGCTGTAAACACCGTCATCCCGGTTACCGTGGAAGATGGAACGCGCAGGCTTATAGGAGACAACTCTGACTGGGCCGGTATCCAAAACTCCCTCCGTATTGGCGGCGCATCCGAACTGGAGGGCTCCTCTACAGCAACGGCGTTGGTAATCGGCGCCGGCGGAACCTCCCGTGCAGCAGTCTACGCTCTACACATGATGGGTTATCGCAAGATATACGTCATTAACCGCACTCCTGAGAATCTTAAATCCCTAGTAGGGGCGTTCCCAAAAGAGCACAACCTCGTGGCGATAAATTCCCTCGCCGAGGCCAAGAGTGTGAAAGTCAAGCCGATCACGGCAGTTTGTACCATCCCAGCGGATAAGCCTATTGACGGTGCGCTCAAGGATATACTACAGGAATTGCTCGCTGGCGGAGCGTGCGCGAAGGTTCTGGTAGAGATGGCATATAAACCGACGGTCACCGAGGTTATGACCCTGGCGGAGGGGGCTGGGTGGCGAGTTGTTCCCGGCTTAGAAGCGTTGGTCGGACAAGGAGTTAAGCAGTTTGAGGTTTGTGTTCTTTTTCCCTACTGGGCTGGGCTGTGACTAATAATTGAGCAGGTTTTTACTGGGGGGATTGTCCCAGATTACAAAGTCGCGAGGGCGGCGGTTCTTGGGGAGTAGGTGGCTTTGATTCTGGAAATGTGTACCCGTGCTCTGGTGCCACGCGCTATGGGGGTCCAATGGGGTATTCGTTATATTATGGAAATTCTGGTTGTGGGGATGATAGTGAGATTGTGAGCGTGGTTTGTCATAGAATATTGCTTATCATATTCTGGGACGTACCCCCGGATAGTTGCCTGCCCCTACCACACAAATTTGTGTATCAGGCTATGTAAATATCTCCCCACTCGCGCAACTATATCTGCCGCTGGGAATTCCTCACTGGACAGCATTAGCAGAACTCCCATCTTTAGAAAGACGAGTGAGAACCTATGACTAGAACAACTCTCTAATCAATAGCACGTCCTTCCTCACGCGGCTAGGGTAATTGGAGTCCTAAGATGGCCTTTCCCTTTCGTGGCATTTCACCATATAAGCATGTTTCGGGTGGTATAAAGGTGAGAAAGGGAGGAGAAGAGCAGGGGGGAGAGTTATGAAGCTGCAGGGTGGGTATAGTACGCACAGCCAGTGATAGTCATACAATACCCCCCCCCCCGGATGGGGGCATATTTTGCCGGTGGTATGGTGCAAAGTGTCCGTAAGGTGTACCAAGCTGTTGCATCACGAAACACCTGGATTTAGGCAGGGTTGAGGGTTATATGCGGGGCAAGGTGATTTGAAGGATTACAAGTTCAATTTAGACTTGAGTTAATATTTGGTAATTGCATTTAGTTATCTTGGAAAAGGTAGAAAGCATGAGTTTATCACCTGTTAGATTCTGTTTATAAGAGAAAATATGACTGCAATATATCATGATAAGAGCTAATTGTCTTGGTATTTCAATTATCATACAAATTGTTTACTGGATTATGTAAGTTATAGTGCCAATTGGTCAGTCTCTGACTTTCTATATAAGTATAAACTAGCTTACTTCACAATACTTCCATAATTCTTTATAACATTTTCAAATACTTCCAAATAGTCTTCATTGATTGTAATAATGGTGTGATGATAAGCTATGACAACCTGGATCTCTACCTATATATGAGACCAAGAGGTTAAGTGATAGAAAGAGTAGGTATGCTAGTACATGTCAAAGAAGAGACCTAATAGTTTGGATACTTTAATGTCACGGCCACCTGGCTATGGAGACAGAATATGTATGGAGTTTTGGTTGCATATATTAGTTGTGGTTTTCTTGGTTGCATAGTTGGATTTTGTTTGTATAGGTGATTGGGATGCATTGCTGCGTAATGGAAGATGGCGGAACCGGACGGAAGGATCACGGCTGCGCATGATTCCAAGAACTTTCTTTGGTATTAGTAATCATGGAGGATTTCCTTAATATATAAAGGGGTGTGCCCCTCTATATTTTACTTTGTTTATGCAATCTGGTAATCTCCTTCGGACCCCTGTACCTAGGAATTACACTTTCTAGTATCTGCCATCCTCTTGAACCCCCTGAACCCTGACCCTGAACTCCTGAGTCCCGAACCTCGTACAACTCGCTTCGGTTGTACTCCCGCACCTAGACCTCATCTGCTGAATCCTGCCTGTCCTGATCGTGGTGTGCCTTGGACTACCCGACCCTCAGACCCTGTCCGTTACACAAGATTGTGTCCACCAGGACCCAACCCACACCGAATCATGGCCGCTTCCTTCCTCTCGGAAGATATCAATAGCCAACTCCAGGCCCTTAGGGCTATTGGGAATGAAGGCATCCAAGGCCTGACCCACACCCAGATCCAAAACCAGTTCACCGTCGCCAGGGACCTGGCTCGCCAAATCGTGAATCCGCCGGCTCCTCCACCTCGACAAGCTACCCCCATCCCTCCAGAACTGACCCCCCAGTACCAACACCTCCAACAACAATGCAACCTCCTGATCCAAGAACGAGATGATGCCCGTACTGAGTACCAAGGTCTTCAGACCCGTCTCGGTATCGTCGAAGCCAACCTCACACAAGCCAACGCTACCATCACATCCCTGAACACCGCCCTTGTCCTCATGCCTGCCCCTGGTGCGGCAGTCCCTACTGGTGGCAACAAACAAATTTTGAACTCCGACTCCGAACAATTCGATGGGACTACCGACAAGCTTCGCCCCTTTCTCACCCAGCTGCGGATGAAACTCCAGGGTGATGCCCATCGTTTCAGTAGTGAACAATCGCACCTTGGCTACGCCATCGGTCTCCTCTGTGGGCGTGCCCTTGTCCAAATCCAACACGGAGTGCTGGGCGAGCGCATCGACTTCGAAATCATTCAAGCATTCTACGCCGAACTGGAACAGGCCTTTGGTGACCACAACAGGGTCTAAACAGCAGAACGGGCTCTGAGAAGCCTCCAGCAAAAGAACAGACGTTTCGTGGAATACCTCGCTGACTTCCAACGCCTAGCTGTCGACACCCTCTGGAATAATGCTGCCAAGCGCACCTCCCTCTATCAGGGCCTTAGCACCGAACTGAAAGATGCCCTGGTACATGTCTTCCCTGTCCCAGAATCTTGGAATAACTACCTCTCTCTCCTCAAGCATCTTGACAACAATGTCCGCACCCGCCCTGCCAAAAAGCAAGGCTCCTCCTCATCCTCTTGGAGGACCTCCACTCCTGCCCCTCCATGCACATCTGCTCCTGCACTGCCCCCAGCCTCCACAGCGACCGGTACTGCCTCTGGCCCAATGGACCTCTCCGGAAAGCGCCGAAAGCTGGCCCCCGTCGAAAGGCAAGATAGAATCACCTGTGGTCTCTGCCTCTGCTGTGGAGGACATGGACACATAGCTTGCGCTTGTCCCAACAAGGGACCCCGCCCCATGCATGGGACTGCCACCCATACGGTTCCCACTCCTGAGGAGCCCCTCCCTGCCCACGAAGAGTCAGAAAACTAGTGGTCCCATGTGCAGCCTCCGGCACTGACACGGGACATGTTAAGTCTTCTCCTTGTTTAGTTATTTCTAGTTTATCTCTGGACGAAATGGAAAATGGAATTGAGGCTAACCACTTGGTAGTTGCTTGTGACATCATAGACAACGAACATGTAATCCGAGCCCACGCCCTTATCGATTCGGGAGCAACTGGTTATGCTTTCATGGATATAGACTTCGCTAGCTGTGACCATCTACCTCTATCCCAACTCAAAGAATCCATACACCTTTCCGGCATTGATGAGAGACCTACCAGCTCTGGGGCAATAACCCATGTTGCCTGCTTTGACCTCAACATAAAGGACCACCTAGAATCCATCCCCGCCTTTACTGCCAAACACGGTAGTTACTCCCTTACTCTTGGTATCCCTTGGCTGAAACAACACGATGTCACTATCTCCTTTGCCTCTAACACTGTTACCTTTGAGTCCGACTTTTGCCTCAAACAATGTACCGCAGATGTGATGGGTATCTAGGGAATCAAATATGAGATCCCCCACTACTTCAAAGCTTATGCCCTCCAATGTACCAGTGACCACACAGTGTTAGAACAGCAGGAAGTCAAAGAGATTGTCCCTCCCGAATACCATGACCTCCTACCGGTGTTCCTAGAAAAAGAACAAACCCAACTACCTTCTAGCCGAGCCGGGGTGGACCACGGGATACCCCTGAAACCTGGTTTCACCTGTCCTTTTGGCCCTCTCTGCAACCTATCCCCACCAGAGCTCACCACGCTAAAAGGATGGATTGATAAAAATCTGGATAAGGGCTTCATTAGGCCTTCCACCTCTGCAGCCACATCCCTAGTCCTATTTATCAAAAAGAAAGATGGCACCTTAAGACTCTGCATGGACTATCGAGGGTTGAATGAGGGAACTGTCAAAGGTCGTGGACCCCACCCCCTGTTAACCGAAACCCACAGGACCATTGCTGAGGCCAAAATCTACTCAAAGATCGACATTCGTGGCCTACAACCAAGTCCAAATGGACAAGAAGGACCAATGGAAGACTACCTTCCACACTCAATATGTGCTCTTCGATTCAAATGTCATGCCATTCGGCCTTACCAACGCTCCCACCTTCCAGGTCTTTATCAACAAGGTCCTACGCCAGGGACTGGACAGGTTCTGTACAGCCTACCTTGATGATATTCTCGTGTATAGCAAGAATGAAGAAGAACACATCAAGCATGTACACTGGGTGCTACAGGAATTACAGGAGGCGGATCTAGAAGCCAAAGAACAGAAATACGAGTTCCATGTCACCCATGTGGAATACCTTGGTTTCATCATCAGCCCTGAGGGCATTCGGATGGACAATGCCAAGGTGGAAACTGTTACCACCTGGCCCATGCCCGATTGTGTATGCAAAGTCCGCCCCTTCCTAGGCTTCACCAACTTCTACGCAGGGTTCATTCGTACCTTTTCGCGGCTGGCACGCCCCCTCACTGCTCTCACCAAAAAGAATCAGCCCTTTGTATGGACTCCTGAATGTCAATGTACTTTCGAACGATTAGAAGAAAGCCTTCACCACGGCGGCTGTCCTCGCCCACTTCGATTTGCACGAAGAACTGATCATTGAAACCGATGCCTCCGACTTTGTCTCTGCTGGTGTCATATCGCAAAAGCATGACACTAGACATCTCCATCTTGTTGCCTCCTATTCTCAAAAGCAGAGTCCTACCGAATGCAACTATGACATTTACGACAAGCAACTTATGGCCGTGGTTAGAGCCTTCGAAGAATGGCGATATTACCTCCTTGGAAGACAGGTGACTCTCCTGACAGACCACCTCAACCTCAAGCACTTTACGACCAAGGGACTATTGAACAACCGACAGGCCAGTGTTACGAGGTAGGTAACTCTAAGGTCAAGCGAGTATACACTAGGCCCTGTATTCTTCTGTCTCGGAGATAGTCAAGAAGGCTCGTAAAAATAGAAGTAAGGTAGAACGAATATGTTGATAAGATCTCTTCTCCAGTCGCTGATGATAGACTTAAGAGCTAGGAATTTTTTTTTTTTTTTTTGTTTAACTC